AAAAAAAAAAAAAACCCGAATAAATATTCACGAATTAGACTTAAAATACATACATCTGGTTGGAATTGATGGTATCACAGATATCTATATTCATGGTCCAGTCGGGTCCGATCAAGAACTCGCTGGTTGCCTTCTCAACCCTCACCGTAGCTGAAGAAGAAGAAGAAGAAGAAATCGAAGCTATTGATGAAATCATATTTACCCCTTTCCTTCTTTAAGCCTTCTTTTCTTCAAGAAAGAATCACAGAAGCTTTGTTTTGTGGGTTTGTGTGTTTGTACTGTGCTTTCTTCAAGTATATTATTCTATCTTCCAGAAAACACACAGGAAAGTTTGTTTCTTTTTGATTCTCTTCCTTTCTTTTTTGTTTGTGTTGAAGAAAGTTTTTCTGGTCCTCTACTTTTTCTTCCTTTATTTTTTTCCTTTTGGGACACTTTTTATAGGCTTGTTTTTCGGGGAAATTTCATAATTATTTTCCGATTCGGCCATTATATTGACACCGTGTTACACTCGCCGCAAAACTGGACTTTTTTCTTGCATAATTTTACCAGTAAGAGTAGGAAAATATTCACTTGAGGAACCCAACTTATGGTTGTTAGCAAACGGATCCTCAATATGTAATAACTATACAATTCAAAAGATCCTACTAGTCATAACGTTCTTAGTTCCAAGAGAATCTAATAGTACTAGGACATAAGTTATCCAACATGTCGATGCAGATATCTTTGAAAGAATTAAACTAATTGTACACTTCTTTTTACATCAAATTTGACATTTATTAATGTGTCAAAATCATGACCCTTAATTTGAATAAGTGTTATTCAAATCAAAAGTCATAATTTTGACATACAAAAAATGCTGAAATAAGCTCAACTATGAATATTCAATCAACGCTTCTATCAGTAAGTGAACAAGAATAATCAATCATGCTTATGTGAATCATATATCTCCATATTCTTACATCAACAAATATATATGCTAAGACTTGTCAAACTATACAAAATTAAATTCAAAATTCAGTTTTCGACAATGAAATACCTGTATCTTAGTTAAAATACAAAACATGAACTTCTAGTACTTTTAGACTATGTCTTGAAAATTCTAGTGTGAACTATTAGCACCGTGCAAAGTGTCATTGGTTTTGAAACACGTGCGAATAGAATGTGTTGGTTTTGGAACCTTTTCTTCATGGTTCCGAAATCTAGTACACTTATTTGTGTATTTGTTTCACGCGGTTACTCGTTAACAATTAAAAAGGGATCAGACGATTGTGTAAGGGACAAACCTCTTGAAACAAAGTCTCAAAAAGAGGTGTTTATCAAATATGAAAATTACAGTTTGGACGCGAACAAGATACTTCCAAGGGGCGCAGCACACAAGTACAAGGAAATTGAAATAATTAAAGTTAACCTAAGGAAAAGTAAATTACATATTCTCTGTTTGAGAGTGAATTTTGTCTGGCTTCTTCATTGCTTTTCCTCTTCCTTTTATACTCCTTGGATAGTTCTAGACCGTTTGGACTCTGTTCGTAACTATCCATTTCTTTCATAGTG